ATATAACTGCTAGATTATTTACATTAACTAAATCGAAAGATAAAATCTTTTAAAAAAAAATAGATGATAATGTACTCCTTATTTATCGCCTAATTTAGTGATACATGACACACTTTAAGGGACAACTACTGTAATTGTAATTATTTCATTGAAAACAATGTTGACGTAAACTTTTTTATTCCGTTGTTATTTTTTGTTATTAAATTAGAATCATTATTAGATCACAATATAAAAAATGTTCAAAATAATATTAAGAAAAAAAGAAGACATAGATGACTTAAAGTAATTAGGTAATCACTTATATCTTAATATATCAGCACCAATTGAGATAAAGTGTAAAGAAATATCGTTTTATTGAATATATTAAGAAAATAAACCATAAAAAACCCTAATAGGTTTTACCGAAACTAAATAGGCTCATTATCAAATAAAAACATAACAAAATAAACGATGATTAATGTGATTAAAAATAGCTAATCCTCCAATGTAAGATCTACAAAATCAATATATTTCGTTATCTTGGGGACTTTTTCTGGACGTTTGATGAAGGAATCTACTGACCATGTATCTTCATTTAACACAATATCATATAGAGTTTCAGCCACCTCAAGAACACGTTTCCCATTCCCATTCAATGGCAACTTGTTGAACATGTACTGCTCTTTGTAGTAAGAGTTTAGCTCGAGTCGGAAGATATTTTTAAGAAATTTTGAAACAGTTATATCATCAATTAAAGACTTGGCTTGGGTAACACCACAAACGATGATTAGTCGTTTCATAAATATCCGGAATTCGATTAAATATTTTGCATGACTAATATCATCACCAAATATTCCGGGAAGAGGCCCATCATTTAGGTTGTCATCGTAGGGCATTCCGTTATCCATACGATACACCGTAACTTCATCGGCAACAAGCATTTTAACGGTTGGTAATTGCCCACATTCAAGCAATATGTCACTTATCTTTTTTTTCCCAATACAATATAGTAAATGAGTGATAAATAACCTAAATTCAAATATGTCAAACTCATGATCGAAGATTGCTTCCGGACTCGGAGGCATTTATGAAAAAAAATTAAATGATAAAGAGAAATTTTTAGGTATTCACTAAAAGAGAAATTGGTTGAGAGGGAATAATTGTGATGCTTTAAATTGGATATTTAACAATGTATATAAAACATAAAAATGGCGCCAAAATGAAAATTTACACACATTTTTTGGCGCCACAATGTGCTAATC